GGTCGAGGCTGCGGTGGCTGGGAGCGGCCACTGCACTCCAGTCTAGGTGACAGAGTGAGACTCCAACTCAAAAAAATAAATAAATAAATAAAAAATAAATGATTACCGACCCCTCCTTTATGCTCTCTCCCTAGGTTCTGCTTATTTTGGTGGCTTTAATTACTATTCATACACCAACGATTCCCAAAGTAACAACTTCTGTCCAGATCCTTTTTTTTTTTTTTTTTTTGAGTTGGGAGTCTCACTCTGTCGCCGCTCCCGGCCACCGCAGCCTCGCCTGCTGGGCTCCGACGATCCTTCCGCCTCAGCCTTCCAAGTAGCCGGAATTACAGGCATGCGCAACCACGCCCGGCTGACTTTTTGATTTATTGTAGAGATGAGGTCTCACTGCCCAGGCGGGTCTCGAACCCGCAGCCTCAGGCAATCCACTCACCTCAGCCTCCCAAAGGCGCAGGATTACAGGCTGAGCCACCGAGCCCGGCTCAGATCCTTTCTATAAAGATAACCAGACGCGAACATCCAGCTGTCTACCTGTCGTTCCCACTTACGTGTTTCACCAAGATCGCAAAATGAACCTGTCCAGGACAGCTCCTATCTTAGCCTGCGCCATCTCAAAAAACGGTCCCACTATTCATCCAGTTGATCCCGTCAGAATCAGGAAATTCTTGACACCGCCCTTTCCCTTAACTCCCACGTTCAGTCTATCCCCAAACCCTTCAAAACAGAACCCAAGTCCACCACTCGTTTCCACCTTTACTGCCTTCCACCCTCTTCAAAACCACCCACATCTGCCATCCGGAATCACAGCAGTAGCCCCTGAAACGAGTCTTAAGACGTAAATGAAACCGTTCTCTCTTCAGCAGAAAGCGCTCACAGCAGCAGAAGCTGCGAGCCCCTGTCCCCCAGCCCAAGGTCTGGGAGGGGATCAGCACAGGATCCTACCAGGCCCCGGGCGCTCCGCGCGGCCGCATAAACGTAAATTGCGTCCTCCGCTGTTACGACGCTCAGAAACAACGTAAAGTGGGCGGGACAGCGTTTTACAAACCGGACCGTGAGGCTTTTCGTTTTCTCTTTCCAGCCAGCGCCGAGCGATGGGTGAGCGTAGCTCTGCGTTGGGGCCGGGGAAGGGGGGGTGAGCTCCATCCGGTTCCATCCTTGCCTCGCAGCCAATTTAGGAGTACGGGCGCCCGGACCGCGGGAGGGAACAGCTGTGAGGAGGACTGGCCCTAGGGTTTTGGCGGCCGAGGCCTTCTCTGTGGGCTGCAAACGCTCCGGGCACCGAGCTGTGGGCTACAAGCGGCACCAATCAACATGGCTGCCGCGGGAAAGAGGTCCGGGCTGGGCCGCACATGTGTGATGACACCTCGGTAATGCTGCAGACTGCCGAGTGCGCAGTGGGGAAGCCAACCTTGGAGAGCTGAGCGTGCGGCCCGCCCGGTGCGGGGGTGTGGAGCTGACGAGTAGGTAGGAATCGCAGTGGCTCAAGCTTCCGCCCCCGCTTCCACATCCAGGCATCTCTCGGGACAACTGGCACAAGCGCCGCAAGACTGGGGGCAAGAGGAAGCCCTACCACAAGAAGCGGAAGTATGAGCTGGGACGCCCGGCTGCCAACACCAAGGTGGGTGAGCGCGTGCGTGGGGCTGGCCGCCCAAGAGGTCGCCTCTTCCTGTTCCCCATAGTGGTCCGTTCTCTTCTTGTGGCTGTTGTTAGTTCTCTCTTGGGCTCTGATTTTTTTGTAGTAGGAACTAGGAGGCTTTTACCTGTTAGGTAGGTACTAATGAAATGGCATGCTGTCTGCCACTCCCAGACCTTAGGGCATAATGGAAACAGACTGAGTACTGGGACTTACGGGGCTCATGGTCAGAAACTTGGCGTTTGTGTTGCACAGGGCCTTCATTTTCAGCTTTTGGGCTCAGGCTTTTCCTTTTGGAGGTGACTAGGGTGATGAAAAGGAATCCTTAGGCGTGGTTGTGGCCGTCTTGGTCACCTGTATACCACTTGCCAATGCAAGGACTTGTCATAGTTACACTGACTGTGTTGCCTCTGTCCAGTGCAGGTTCCTGTCCTTCTTTAGCTTTGCCTTCCTTGGTAACCAAGTTCCTGGCTCCTTGTTTTCCAGATTGGCCCCCGCCGCATCCACACGGTCCGAGTGCGGGGAGGTAACAAGAAATACCGTGCCCTGAGGCTGGACGTGGGCAACTTTTCCTGGGGCTCTGAGTGTGAGTGAGGGTCTGCTGGAGTGGGTGGGAAATTGGCATCTGAACCTTTCCAAGCGTCTTGTGCCCTGTTAGCAGGAATAGACAAGCCACTCTCTCCTAGCTGGGGAGCTCTTCACATAGACTACCCTGATCTCCTTAACTGCAACCTGCGGGGTTGGAGCTGCTTCTGGAAGATGGGCTTGGAGCTTGTGAAAGATGAACTGATGCCCTGTGGCTGGGTAAAGGTTGGGAGTTCTTGCTTCTCCTTAAGGCCGTATTAGGGCAGAAGAACCTGGAGAAGTTTGGCAAGGCCAGTTAACCTCGTTTATGTGACTTGATTCTAAATTTCTCCTGTGAACAGGTTGTACTCGCAAAACAAGGATCATCGATGTTGTCTACAATGCTTCCAATAATGAGTTGGTCCGTACTAAAACCCTAGTGAAGAACTGCATTGTGCTCATTGACAGCACACCATACCGACAGTGGTATGAGTCCCACTATGCACTGCCCCTGGGTCGCAAGAAGGGGGCCAAGTTGGTGCGTATTACTTCTCTATAGGGATTGGGAGGGGGCACCCTGTCTCCAGCCTTCTTGTGATGAAAACTCTGTCCAGTTCTGCTGCTGAAGGGAGAGAGATGAAAGCATTTAGTGCTGAGGAAGGCCACATAGGGGTGTGAAGGGTTCAAGAAGGTTGCGGTGGCCTTCTTTCCCTGAGCTAATTTATCTGTATTCCTTTTATTCAGACTCCTGAGGAGGAAGAGATTTTAAACAAAAAACGATCCAAAAAAATTCAGAAGAAATATGATGAAAGGAAAAAGAATGCCAAAATCAGCAGTCTTCTGGAGGAGCAGTTCCAGCAGGGCAAACTTCTTGGTGAGATGGCTGTTGTGTTGGGGGCGGGGAGTCACAGAACAAGTGTGCCCTGTGCATTTTTTCCTGGACTCAATTCATCTCGGCTGCCAGCTGTGTGGTGTAGAGTGTTCGCCAGAAGTGTTTATGATCACAAGATACCAGCACAAATGAGAATACCTGATCACCCTTATATAAATGTGAAGAGGAAATGGGAAATACTGGGTAGGAGTCCACAGGCCTGGGCTTGGGATCTTAGGAGTATTTTGCCTGGCCTGAGGAGGCTGTCTCAGTGATGAAAACTTTGTCCAGTTCTGCTCCTGACAGTAAGTGATGATGAAGTATGTCTGAGGAGACAGTGGGCTTCATGCTTGCCCCCAGGGTACCTGAAGCAACATAGACTCTTAGGGTACAGATAGGCTTCAGTGGGGCCGCTCTCTTATTTTGCTAAGGACAATGTACTCTCTTGCAGCTTGCATTGCATCAAGACCAGGCCAGTGTGGCCGAGCAGATGGCTATGTGCTAGAAGGCAAGGAGCTGGAGTTCTATCTGAGGAAAATCAAGGCCCGGAAAGGCAAATAAGTCCTCTTCCCTAGCTCATGTAATAAAGCCGTTTATTATTCTGCATCCAGTGTTTGTGTTCCTGAAATATTTGACTCTTCTGTTTTGGTTCCCTGCCGTACCTTTGCCTCCTCTTGTCCTGACCATACCCCACACTGTTGAGTCCTCAGTGGTTCAACTCTGCCTTACTGAAGGTCAGGTTTATGTGCGCTAAGCCTTTTTATCTTGGAGAGAGGATTTCGCATCCAGGTATCAGTGAGAATAGTGTTGCGGCATGTGACAGGCTGTATGAGGGGGTATCCCAACCCTGGGTCTCTCAAAAATATTAGGATGCTGATTGAAGCGTGATTGGAACCTTAGACCATAGTCTAAATTGTAAGGATTCTGTGGGGTTTTAAGGGTTCTCTTTTTTTTTTTTGAGTTGGAGTCTCACTGTCACCCAGGCTGGAGGGCAGTGGCAAGCTCATGGCCACCGTAGCCTCTGCCTTCCAAGTAGCTGGAACTACAGGCACACACCCGTCTAATTCTTTGATTCATTGTAGAGATGCCAAATTTGCCCAGGCTGGTCTCCAACCCTGGGGTCAGGCAGTCCCTTTGCCTACACCTCTCAAAAGTGCTGGGGTTACAGGCTTGAGCCACTGCACCCGGCTGATTCTCTTCAATGTGGGAACATGGGTGGTGTAAAATTACCAGCGGTTTCTACCTTGCTAAATCTCCCAAGAGTCACTTAGCCCAGGCATACTTGACATCTACACTTAGATACAGTAGGACTCTCATAGGTCAACATCTTCAGAATTGGTCTCTTGCCTACCCCCACCAACCATGTTCTTCAGCTTTTCCAATTGCAGCAAATAGTCTTTATACAACTGCTTATATCGAGCTCTTGTGTCATCCCTAACCTCTATTCTTGTGCTCCACATCTAAGACCACCAACTCTTGCTGGTCCATCCTCTGACATCACCTACCATTCTGATTACCTTTTTGCCTAGATTATTTGCAATCTAAAATTTCCTTTTTAAAAACACCTTAAAACCATTCTGAACCGGGCTCTGCCTGTAATCCCATGCCTTGGGAGGCTGAGGTGAGTGGATTGCCTGAGCCTGCGGATTCAAGACCCACCTGGGCAACTTGGTGAAACCTCATCTCTACAATAAATCAAAAAATGAGCTGGGCGTGGTAGCACGTGCCTGTAATTCCAGCTACTTGGAAGGCTGAGGCAGAAGGATAGCTGGACCCCCAGCAGGTCGAGGCTGCAGTGGCCGGGAGCAGCCACTGTACTCCAGTCTGGGCAACAGAGTGAGACTCCAACTCAAAAAAAAAAAAACCATTCTGGCCGGGCATGGTGGCTCAAGCCTGTAATCCCAACCACTTTGGGAAGCGAAGGTGAGAGGATTGCCAAAGCTCAGGGGTTTGAGACCAGCCTGAGCAACATGGCGAGACCTCATCTCTACAATAAATCAGAAACATTCCACCTTTTAAAAAGTTAGGTTCTGGATTGCCTGAGCCCACAGGTTGAAGACCAGCCTGGGCAACTTGGCGAGACCTCATCTCTACAATAAATCAAAAATTAGCTGGGTGTGGTAGCACATACCTGTAGTTCTGGCTACTTGGAAGGCTGAAGTGGAAGGATCACTGGAGACCAGCAGGTCTACGCTGAGGTGGCCGTGAGTACCATGGCACTCCAGCCTGGGCAATAGAGTGAGACTCCAACTCAAAACAAAGGGTCTCACGTGACTCATGCCTATAATCTCAGCACTTTGGGAGGCAAAGGTGAGAGGATTGTCTGAGCCATGGGTTCAAGATCAGCCTGGGCAACTTGGCGAGACCTCCTCTGTATGATAAATAAAAAAAATTAGCTGGGCATGGTGTGCCTGTAGTTACAGCTACTTGGAAGGCTGAGGCGGAAGGATCACCTGGGCCCAGCAGGTCGTAGGCCTCGGTGACAGAGTGAGATCAACTCCAAAACAAAAAAGGGTCTCGTTCTCCCCCAGGTTGAAGTGTGCAATTATGGGTCACTGCAGCCTCCAACTGGAGGACTAAGGTGTGAACCACCACACCCACCCTAATCCCTTCTTGAGCACAAAAACTGTCCTTGACAAAACAACACACTTTACACTGCTTTTCCACCCACTGCAGATCTTCCATTCACCACCTTAATGTTAGCTGGTGTTCACTGAGCTTCATATTAAGCATAGAAAGCAACACTCAACGCTTGGCATGTGTTTTGTAGTTTGAGCTCTAGAAGGCATTCAACTTTATTCCTCCTCTCCACTCATTTCTACTTCTAATGGGTCAATAAGGCCAGCGGGTTCTTCTTTTTTTTTTTTAATTTGAGTTGGAGTCTCACTCTGTCACCCAGACTGGAGTGCAGTGGCCGCTCCCGGCCATGGCAGCCTCGACCTGCTGGTCTCCGGCGATCCTTCTGCCTCAGCCTTCCGAGTAGCTGGAACTACAGGCGCGTGCTACCACACCCGGCTGATTTTTTGATTTATTGTAGAGATGAGGTCTCGCCAGATTGCCCGGGAGGGTAGTGAACCCGCGGGCTCAGGCAATCCACTCACCTCAGCCTCCCAAAGCGCGGGATTACAGGCTGAGCCACCGAGCCCGGCTGGCCACGGGGTTCTTTAAAGATTATTGAATTCACTCACTCCCTTCACAGATGACCATTCTCAACTTGGAATGATGCTATTTCCCCTATAAAAAAACCTCCAGGTAACCCTCTGGAGACCCCTCCCACTGTGGGAGTTTTCTGTCCTCAATAAATCCTGCTTCCACCAGGTTCAGTGGCTCATCCTGTAATCCCAGCGCTTTGGGAGGAGGCTGAGATGAGTGGATTGCCTGAGCCCGCAGGTTCGAGACCCGCCTGGGCAACTTGGTGAGACCTCATCTCTACAATAAAATCAAAAAACGTAGCTGGGGTGGTAGCGCAGGCCTGTAGTTCCAGCTACTTGGAAGGCTGAGGCGGAAGGATCTCCAGAGCCCAGCAGGTCGAGGCTGTGGTGGCCGGGAGCGGCCACTGCACTCCAGTCTGGATGACAGAGTGAGACTCCAAGTCAGAAAAATAAATACATAAAAATAAATAAATCTTGCTCTTAAAAAAAAAAAAAAAAAAAAAAAACTCCGGCACCTGAATGAATGTCTCCACGTTAGAAATTTGGAAACAGGCTTAGAATTGTTCACTATCAGCTGGATGTGGTGGGTCAAACCTGTAATCCCGGAATTTTGGGAGGCTGAGGTGAGAGGATTGCCTGAGGCCAGGGATTCAAGACTAACCTGGGTGACTTGATGAGACTTCATCTCTACAGTAAATCAAAAAATTAGCAGGACTGGGCGTGATGGTGCATGCCTGTAGTTCCAGCTACTTGGAAGGCTGAGGTCGAAGGATCGCCTGAGCCCAGCAGGTCGAGTCTGCGGTGGCCGTATAAGCGTGGCACTGCACTCCAGCCTGGGCGACAGAATGAGACTGACTCAAAAAAAAAAAAAAAAAAAGGC